TTCAGTTTGGGTGCTTTGAGGGCTGCTTGACTGACTATGCGTGCAGCGGCGAGATGGTGCCTCCAGACTCGGGTGGAAGCAAGTGACGAGGGGGTGTGGAGAGTGGGGGTTGTGGGGTCTTGAAATGAAGGCATTTGGAGACAATACAACGGGCCGTGGTAGGCATGAGCTGCAGCACCAAACGAAGAGGTGTGGAGTCCGACGCAAAGACAAAAGTGGACCACAATGAGGACAGGGACTCTCACCGGTTGACGCTGTGTTTGAGCGCTTCTGCCCCATTTGACAAGCTTCAAGGTCTCTTCCACAACGAGGTTTTCGTGGCCGCGACAGCAGGGTGTTGCCGTGAGGACCTGAAAAACCAAAATAAAAAAAACTAACGCCACCACTTAGTCAAAAAGCATGTAAAAAGATGAATGAGATATGCTAAAGTCAGATATGTATTCGTCTCTAGGCCTGTTCAAAGTGGTCTACAGTATGCCGCCATTCTCTTCATGCCTCGGCCACACTCTGACTCAGAATGTTTCATCTCGCCAGTCTATGAAATGAGAACAAAGCTACAGTTCTGTTTAAAAGCGCTCTCAGGTTACAGCCAAAGTGCTTCTCCGAAGGGTCCAGCAAGTGGCGCATTTATTGAAAAAGGTCTTCTATCATGCATATCTCACTCCGAGTCCCGTCTGTCTACTCGAAACGGAGAGGACACTGTTTAACATAGAATCTGGAAGAAAAGGAAACTGGTGGATTCGAACAAATCGGATTGCAAGTTACACTTTCTGAGGCGAAAAGCAAATCAAATCTTAGGCAGGCATACACATTAGTCGTAACCGGTTCCAACTTTCTAAACTGAGTGTTACCAAGATCATTATTTTATACTATTATTATATATGCTGTCGTTTGATGCAATCATAACGTTCAGGTTGGAGCAGTCCACGAGAAATCCTCCTGCCAATAGACCAACAACTTCCAGGCTGGATCACATTGTTACATTGAATTCACGTTTGGATAACGATAATCATATTAACTAGTAAGAACTATATGAAAAGATATATGAGTACAAAGACGCAAGTAAACACATATAATAAATAAATGAACCGATAAATAAATATATATATTTGCCTGCCAGTAAAAACTACCCATTACAGCCTTTCATGTCGATATATGTCCTTCTATTTTTGAGTGTCTGTGTGACTTTTTCTGTCATGTCACCGGCCAGCAACTTCAGAGCCGGATCACATTTTCAGCAAAACTTTAGATGGATACAACCATATTCATAGTAAATTGATTGTAGTAGGAGCTCCAATAAAATATAACTTACATATATACATATATATATGCACACACACACGCACAAGCAGGCACATAACTATAAATAAATATTTATTTATCCATACTGACGCATACTAGCAAAAAATACTGGTTCGGTTATTTCATGTCCTTGAACTTTTGAGTCTGTATGTATAAATGTGTATGTGTGCGGACAAAGTACGAAACCCGAGTAAATAGTACAGAGCATAACATCAGTTCATAACCCCGAGCAAATCTCTGGTATGGCAGATGAGACTATCCGAGGCCTAGAACCAGGGAACATAATTAGGACCACCAGTGAACCGACAAGTTAAATCGCCTACATTTTGTCGGTGGCCTCAGGTCTATCAGACAAAACTACTCAATATATGCGAATACAAGTTGGGTTTCTAGAAATCTTTTGTTTCATAATTGTTGAGCTTTCTTCCATTTCGAGTGAAACTGTTTGGTGAAGAGATTCTAAAGTCGATTCCACCAGAAGACGACGGCCGATTCCTCTTGACCAGCTGTCGATTGGCTTTACTGCAACATTCATGCTGACGCTGTTTCCGAGACAATTGCCTTCGATACCGATGAAAAGTTGGTAAGCTTTCGTCCGTCAGATGACGCACATAATTATCACAACAAAATTCAAGCTAACGAGTCAAGAAAGCACTCGAAATGAAAATAAGCTCAACAATTAGCATCTTTTCACCGGAATCGAAGGAGATCACTTTGGAAACAGCGTCAGCATGAATGTTCCAGTAAAGCAAATCGACAGCTGGTCAAGAGGAATCCACCTCCTTAGCTCTTCACCAAATACTTTCATCCGAAATGGAATTCAGCTCAACAATACTAAATTAGTCACCCTAAGTCGATGAAAATGAGTCAAGTATTAATACTAGACTATTTCCTCAAATCTGCGAAATTGGGGTAAAGTGACTACTTATTCCGAGTGCCCTTTAGTCATAGGGCAGATGTGAATTTAAAAAGGCAAGACTTTTCCCATTCTACCACATTCTGTGATGGGATTGTGGATGAAGTAAAGTTGTATTTACTATTTTTTGTATGTAAGTAGAGTTTAGAGACTACCAGTAGATCAAAATAT